TATTAACAAGAATAGTATTAAACATAATTTATAATTAAATATAAAGAGTTTGATGCAAAAAAATATAAAAATAAAAAAAAAGATTAATATAACAAATAAAATAAAGAAAAATGTTTAAGCAAAAGAAGAAAAATAATTTAACAAAAAAAGAAAAATAGAAAAAAAATAGAAAAAGTAAACTAAATAAAGAAAAAAGTTTAAAAAACAATTAATATGCTTATTATAAAAGAAAAAAACCTTTTTAATATAGTTTTAAATTATTAAATAAGCAGTTTATCTTTAACTAAAATAGTATAACAGGTTACATTTAGGTATTATTAAAGTAACTAAGTAATGTTAAACTTAAATATTTTTTTTATTTAGATAATCATGCTAGAGTTTTTATTAAATAACTATTAATATTACTACTAATTATACAAACTTAATTTCTAAGTCTTAGATCTTTTGGCTGCTTCTATAAGTGCTTAGAAGCAACTTATTATACTAAGCAGTAACAAGTTACTATATAAAAATCTATTCTTAATTATCACTTTTCAATAGAGTATTACTATTTGATAATACTTTTTTATAAAAAGTAAAAGAAACAAAAAAACTAAACTAAACTAAAAGAGTTATATGAAGAAAAAAGAAAAAACAAAAATATTAAAAAGCATATCTTTTTATGATCATTTTAGTAAGATCACTAATACTTTAACCTGTACTAAGAATCTAACTACACATCACTCTTGATATAACAGATTACAGATATAATAGATATTGCTTAATATAAAAAAATTTAATAGAACAAAATTATTACTAATAAAGTTATTTTAATATATCGAAGATTATTAATAATCTCATAATATAACTTATAATAGATTTTGACCTAAAATTACTAGATGTCAATATAATAAAAAAACATTTGATAAACCAGATTTTATTATTAACCTTGCAAATAATGAATTTTATTAGTTATTGCAATTACTAATTAGTGAATTATATAGATAGTTATGTAATGTACAGATCAGGAATATAGAATAAATTTAAAAGCTATTGTATATTCAAATATCTAAACTTTTTTGAACTATCCTTCAGACAGTTTAACTCTTTTTTAGCTTATAAGTCTAATCTAAAGTTAGATTGGTCTAGTTTAGTTTCTAATAAGACCAGTCTCAATAGTATTTATAGTCTAGTTTATTAGTTTCTAGTCTCAAAAATAAACTATTTTTAAATAAATTATAATCAATTTTAACTATCATTATCGAAATAAAAATTCAGTTTTTTAATTAATAATAGTTTTTTAATCTCGTTTATTATATTTATTATTAATTAGTCTAAACTAGTTAAAAAACTAAAAAATGAAGACCATATAACTGGTCAAAAAGACCAGTTTTAGTCAGTCTTTTTAAGACTGATTCAACCCTAGTTTAATCTAAATATATATATATATGCGAAAATTAATTTTAATTTATTGTAATTAAATAAAAATTTGTGTTATTTAATATTAAATTTTGTCTAAACATTATCTGAGTTGTCCAAATAACAACACTTGCTTTAAAGTACAGTTTGTTTAAAACATTTTGCAATCTACAAGATAGTATAAAGTTGGGATTCAGCAAGTCTGTTGCTTAGTTGTTTTAGTTTTCATGTAACATTTAGGTAGATTTGGTTCAAAATAGGCATGAAGAATTTGGTGAGTGGTTTGGTGATTCAAATTCGTCTTTAGTACATCAAACTAATCAATAATTTACTTTACTAAACTTTAATGTCTACAGTATATCAGGACAACTAACAAGAGTTCTGAATAATCTAATTATTGTTAACATAAAATGAATTCTGATTACTGATCAATAGGTTTCTTAATTAAACAGATTATTATGTTAATAATAGTTTACTACAGTTACTCGTAATATAACCAGAAATGTGAATTATTATTATAAATTAATAAAGTAAAGATTGTTAAGTATCTGTTTATTTATGAGTAAAAGATACTTATATTTATAATTATTGCATTATTATGCTTATTAAACCACCTAATCATCTTAATGACTTAAAGTATTTAAACCACCTAAAATACCTAAATGACCCAACATACCTAAAAGATCATTAAGATATATAAGACTGATAGATCTTATAGCTTCTATTCTTGCTATTGAACCTTTAGGCTTTGCTCAATTCTAGCTGTTAGACATGCTGTCTAACAGCTAGAATTGAGCAAAGCCTTAGTATTTTAAAGATCAGGATCTCCAAATAAGGTAGTTGATTATCCTTCATATAAAAAAATTATATGATTACTATTTTTATTATAATAAAATAGTATGAGATCATATATTAGTAGAATGATTTGGTATTGTAAAATAATTTCTTATATATTGCATACTAGGTGAAGTAATATCGACAGTTTCTCTTGTTCTAGTAGCTAATTATATTCTAAAATGATTACCTGAAACTAGATTTTGTGCCAAATTAGAAATATAAACTGGTTATTAAATTTAACTTCAAATTTAGATTAATGCCAAACCAGATATGACTAGATGATTTGCATCATAAATTACAAATATTAGTATTGTTTATTTGTATTAGAAACAAACATTACAAATAAATAAAACACACATAAACATTATAATAACTTAAAATATTGTATATAAATAAATTAAGAAATAGTTTTAGTGAGAAAATAAGATTTCAGTTCAGTATAAATAATAACAATATTAATGATTCAAATTGGTTTAATGCAAATTATTACACAATTAAGAAGTACAGTCAGAACTTCTTAAATACACTATCATAGAAAAAACTTTGAAATTATATATTTAGAAAGAGTATGCATTTATAGAGTAGAAATTATAAAGAGCTCTTATGAGTTGGGACCAGACCATGCCATGCATTTAGAGAGTTTTTATTTAGTCTATGCATTTATAGAGGGTGCAGTTATGAAGTTTTGACTGTATCTAGAAGGGTTAATAATATATTAAAAAAAGATAGTGTAATACTTATTGTTTTGAGTTATCAATAGACAATTAGTAGATTAATCAGCAGGGTTCGATCAAAGGAAAATCAATAAATGTATATAATTATTAGTAAGTTAAATATCATATAAGATGTTATATAATAATTTATGATGTAATCAATTAAGAATCAAATGTAATATATATAAAGAATGAGAAAATAAAGTTAATTACAAAAAATATACTAGTAAAAGGTCAATTGAATACTTACCTACTTACTTTCATATCGAGACATTGATAACCTCTTAGAGACTATCATAATTTGTATCAGTAGCAGTAAAAGCCAATAGTAAAAAAAAATAAGGTTTCAAAGTGATATTTATTTCTGTATCTAAATAATGATTAAATGATTAGTAATAATAGTAAAAGTAAAATTTCAATAACACAAAGCTCATAATAATAATACTTAATATAGAATACAGTAGTATGTGACAGTAAAAGAAAATGAAGAATCAAAATTAGATAATAATTATACTTTGTTGAATAATCTCTAAACTGCATTATTAAAAAAAAAAAAACATATATATATATAAGTTATACTTATCCAAGTCTTATATATTAATTAATTGTATTTGTTATAAATAAAGTTAAAAAACATACAGAGAACTCTACTATAAAAAAAGAATTTCTTTAACTAGTACACAAAAAAAGAAATTATATCAAAAAAAATACAATAATCCAAATTTAAAAGATGTAGAGTTAGCCAAAGAGTATGGAATAAGTGAGCAATCAGTATCTGATATTCTTAAGTACTTTAAACACTGGTTAGGCTTCAATGATGCTTTTACCTTAATTCAAGCTAAGCATCAAAGAAAGTCTAATTATTCTAATATTAAAGAGGCATTGTCTATTTGGGTTAAACAAGGAATTAAAAATGAGCTTATTCTCACAGATCATCTTTTTCAAGCCAAAGCTAAAGAATTTGCAACTTTATTCAAAATTATTGGATTTAATGCATCTAATGGCTGACTTTCTAATTTTAAAAAAAGGAATTCCATTTCTTCATATCAACACAGAGGAGAAGCTGGCAGTGTACCTTTGGAGGATGTTTCAAATTTTCACATAGAGCTTTAAAATATTTTTCAAAATTATGAACCTAGAGATATATTTAACTGTAATAAGATGATACTTTATTAGTGACTTGAGCCAAACAGAACACTTGCACATAGTTCAGTTTTAGGAACAAAAAAATTAAAAGATAGAGTTACACTTATGATTACTTGTAATTCTACTAGTGATAAAAAACTACTAATTCTTTTATTCATAAATACTAAACACTACATGCACTTCGTAGTATTGAGAAATCTTCTTTTTCTGTTTGGTATTACTGGAATAAGAAAGAATGTATGCAAAGAAGTATATTTAGCTATTTTTTAGAATGATTCAATAGTCAAATGAGACTTGCTCAATAAAACATTATTTTACTTCTTGATAATGCTTTATTACATAATTTAGATGATCAAGATTTATCAAATATACATATACATTTTTTACTACCAAACACAACAGCTCATCTTCAGCCTATTGATCAAGGAATTGGCTATAGCCTCAAAGTAATTTTTAAATAATTTTATAATTTTTTAGTTAGGCCATATAAACTTAATGAATTGGTTTTCATAACCCAGCCAGGTCAAATTTTGAAAACTTTCAAAAAAAATTTTATAGCATTTTATAAAATTTTTATATATAAAAATTAAAAAAAAAGCCAGCTAGGTCTGATTTAAAATTTTTTGTTATAAAAGTCAAGTAATTAAATTTGTATGGCCTTATTTAAAAGTTATACTTACTTATTTTTTTGTAGATGCAATATCGGTATATTTTTTGTCAAAACCATCTTGAAGCTTATGATGCAATTACTGAAGACAATCTGACTCTCCTGATATTACTATATATGATATAATTAATTTTGTAGCTCAATCATAGAAACATGTTATAACAAATACAATTATCTGTAGCTGGAATAGAGCTGGGATACTTTCACTTACAGAAAGGTTTGATAATAACCTTATCTCAATGTCAGAAGAAACTGAAAAAACTAATTTAAAAGAAATCATAGATCTTATTGAGCTTTTACTGATTAACAATCCTTTAGATGCACAAGAATATATTGAGATTGATAATTATGTAAATATTGAAGAGGATTTAACTGTAAATAATATTGTTAATTTAGTAAATGAATAAGATGAGTGTGAATTAGAAGAAAAACAGAATGAAGTAGTAGTTAAAATTAGTGATATAATTGTGGGACTTGATAATTTGTTAAAATATATTCAGCAAAATAATTTAGAAATTGCTTTATCTTTAATAAAAGATTTATATAACCTTAAAAGATATCCCTTAAATTGTATTGCATGCAAATTTGCCTGCATCTTTTTTTAAAAAATTAATTTTTATAATAAAATTTTAA